TTGTTTCGTTATTCACTGCAGCTGCCATATATGGCCAGGTCAGCACTATCTGGGATGAACTCGACGCTGAAATGAACAGTTTCAAAGTGAGAACTTATCGAGCTATTAGATCTCTTGCATATTAATCGATTTTTGGAAATTCTGTAATTTGCCGAAATTACTCATCAAAAATAACAAGGTGCAGTTCGGCGACGGGGGAGGGGCATTTTACACTTTTGCTACTTCCCATCGACGTGCCGACCCGTTAACTAGCCTTATCTTGTGTTGACAGGATTCAGCAAGGTGGCCCGACGTGATTGCTCCAGGTTCACACGAGCTGACAGGTTTCAGTGTACTAGTGGAGCGGCAAAAGTGCAAAATGCCCCCCCCCCCAGTCGCCGAACTGCGCCCAAGAACAGCTGGTATCTCCGTCATCTCCACTTTTTTCCCCAAGAACATTCATATTCAGATACTCACCGACGATCTCTGGAAAGACATGGTCGGTCTTGGAGCTGGTACTCCATCAAATCGTGTCAGACGAGAGTCTTACGGAGGCTACGGAGCGAGTGGGTCTCAAGAACCAATGAAAAACCCTTCGGCAGGCTACGGTAGCACCCCGCCAATTTCAAGATGCATGTGTGCTCTGGAGAACAACTGCCCTCCTGGTCCTGCTGGAGTAACTGGATTTCCTGGACCAGATGGGTACGACGGGCTTGATGGAATACCTGGACATGATGGCCTCGATTGCGATGACGTCATGAATGAGGCTTCACAGGGCTGTTTCACTTGCCCTCAGGGGCTTCCTGGTCCACAAGGACCCGCAGGAGCTCCAGGAGTTCGTGGAATGCGTGGAGCTAGAGGACAGCCCGGTGCACCTGGAAGAGATGGAGGCCCAGGAATGCCCGGTTAGTTCTACTTTTCTAGATTTTACACTACTTAATGCATTTCACGGGATGCTGCTTTGCAACATTCTGCTTGAGTCATAGGAGTAACTAGCAATCTTTCTAGGAGAAATGGGACCTCCGGGACCACCTGGTGCTGATGGAACTCCGGGAAAGCCCGGAGAAAAGGGAGACGATGCCGAGAAACCCGTTGGACGAGCTGGACCACGCGGAGCTCCCGGAGAACAGGGACCAGAAGGTCCTGAGGGATCCCCCGGTAGGGATGCCTATCCCGGTCAACAAGGCCCACAAGGAGAACAAGGAAGTCCAGGATACCAGGTAGGCTTTTGTTCTAAGAAGTGCCGTTGGCAAGGTACACCACAGAGAAATAGAGACTATTGTGGGAAATTTCAGGGAGCTGCGGGCCCAGATGGAGATGAAGGGCCCCAAGGACCTCCTGGCAACCCCGGCAAGGATGCCGAGTACTGCAAGTGTCCTGATCGTGAATCTGATTACAAGTCTGGAGGGCATCATGGAAATGGGTACAGAAGAAAAAAACATCGCAAGCACTAAGCTCCTTAATAAATTAGTTCAAGTAGTGACTTTTTGTTGGATTCGGTTTTTTAGAAGAGTTTTTTCCATTATCAACACTTTTGTAGGGCAACTGAATAGAAATCGTTGATATAGACGTGGATTTTCTCTGTCTTGACCAGCAGGCAAGAGTTGTATTGTAAAGTGGTGTTCATCACCAAGCTGGCTTCCGCCTGAGATCCTGGATCGAATCGCCCCGGAGCCAGTCAAGCGTTTCATCGTTTCGGCGGGCGTCGGTTAATTGGCACCAGACTCGTCTAAGATGATGAAGCATTATGTTCCAGCTTGGCCGTTTTGACGTATTTTGATAGAAATCCACTCGCTCTACATCTAATTCAAGCATGAAATCTTTCCTAAAAGGGATCAGGACGTATTAATTGTTGTGTGGTTCACGAGGTTGTATGGCAGACAGGGCTCGTCCTGTCATTTGCAAAATACGACCCCCCTCAAAATCGAAAGGACGAGAATCTACTTCATCACCCCTGTGCTATCTCTCTTGAGTTTTCCTAGATTCCCTGACCCCTCCCAGGTTTCTACCACTTTTCCAGATTTTTTTCTTTTTGAATGAAAGTCGCTCAATAACTTGTTTTCTCCCTGGAGGATATTCCCGCGATCAAGTGCTACGGGTAGTAGGTGCTCTATCATGAACCAGTGGCCTCATGACTATCTCCCCTGTAGGGGAAGAAGCGAAAAAAAAACCTTGGGAGCACTCTGAACAGAGACCTCCTAAGCAGTGAGGGCCAGCGCCTTAGGCGAGTTCGTCAGACATCGGCAAGCCCAATCAGCAGGATTGGTTGTGCAACCGATTTACCGGCAAAAGCATAGGATATCATCCTACCGCACCCCAGACAACGCTATGTACAGATACCATCCCGTCTGTAAGTCGTCTTACAGAGCGAAATAATCGTGGCTGCAATATTTGCAATAATGACGCGTCTCTAGCTTTTTTATCTCACCGTTTCGAGTGACGAAAACGGCATACTCTCTGCGAATGCGGACAAGCTGCCAAGATGCACTGAGGCATTTCGCGAAACGCTTGATCGCGGAAACTGACTTAAAGGCAGTTGGCACGATGGTTTCCTACTTAGCCTAAAATGCTAGTAGGGCGCTGTATAGTGGGGAAATGGCGAAAGAACGGAGTGAAACGGTCAAAATCCTGCGAAGAAAAAGCCTCCGTTCTCAGTGACTTGTAAATCGATTTCGGACGAGTTTCCCGTAGGCATCTTACCAATCACCGCTACCGAAGATACGGCTGCATATGTGTACCCATATATGCATGCAGCATCACGGCCGCTTCATACCAATCCCTTCGCTTCATAATTTGCTTAGCAAATGAATGAATACGAGCGTCAGGAACGGTCGTCCATTTGTGGGCGGGCGGGCGTTTGGGACGTAAAGTTGTGGCTTGATAGGGCCCTTATAAGGGCACCTTCCTCGGGGAAACCGCTATGCAGCGCCTGCCCAGGGTCGCGGAATTCTATCCTGCCAGGAGTATTGATCCTAGTCGTCTTGGGGGATTTATCGTGCCAACTGCCTTTGCCTTTAAGTTAGCTTTTCCGTAAGGAACTGCCGCTTCACGAAAGAGAAAGAGACTATAGCGCACCTTAAACAGGAAAGCCGGAGAAAGTCGGAGCTTGAAAACATCTTTTACAAGGGTGTATACGACCATTTCTCTCCAAGGACCAAATACGACCCACTTCGTTGGGGATCTTCAACATACCCTGATAGGCGAACATATTTTCCAGTTTGGCTTGACGTTTCCAGTGAGGAGAGCGGCGGTCCAACCACCTGAGAATTAAGATCCACGTGGCGCTAATTAATTGCAAATTTCGCTATGGTTCCCCGGAATCAGCAGATTGTGTCCTTGTTGACACTTTCTCTCAAAAACACCACTTTCATATTTTCATAGATTTGCCGATGAGATTGAAGTCAGAGATGGAGGGACACCTCTGAAATCTGGACTGCTGGCTTACCCCGTCGATTTCTATCTACACTACATTTCTTTGCATCAGTTCATCATGAAATTTGACTGGGCAGTCGTATAGTTTGAGGTACCCCTGGTATGCCCTCAGAATATCTTTTTTTGGTTCGAGAAAGAAGAGGGGTTGCTGAAGATATTGCTATCTCATCTGTTGCATAAGAATGTTCACATTTCCAATCTCTAATCCCCATAGGAATTGCAACGTTCGACAATTGTGGAAAGTTTCAGTCCTTCCTCTAGGAAAAAAATGTGGAAGGGCGATAAATCACTTGGCGCTCACCGATCCCTTCTCAGGATGGCTACGCGTTTGATAATCGTTCTCAGAACCGTGGAGATTTCGCATTTACTCCTGGCCCCTAACAATCGGATCGGGGGGGGGGAGTGGGGAGGGAGGAGTTGAAGGATTACAATCAGTGTCACGCCACAAGCGTAACTATCAAGCGGCTCAGACTGGAACAATGGTGTGGGGTGAAGGCCACGCCGACCTTCGTCCTCAGCAAAAAAAACAGACAGTTCTTTTGAAGAGGTTAAGGTACAATGCCATAAATACGGCTAGTGTTTTCTGCCGCACTAGTGGGTAATGAAACTCTTCGTACTGGCAGGGTAGCATGCCTCATCTGCGACTATCAAAGATGGACCCAGCGCTCATCCAATTCGTGATATTCCTATACTTTGACCGGCCCGATACAGTACCGACTCGCTATCCAAGTAGTTTCGGTGGGTGGTACGACGGCTGCTAAACTTTCGCAGCTCCACAACGAGGGACGAGGCCGCCATAAGCTGCAGTTATATACTGTATAGGGTACGGTATACCGTGTATAGCCGCAACCTAGAGTAGCCAGGGTTGGCCTATGGTAAAGCTGAGGTCCTCTTTCGATTCCACTGTGCACAGAAAGTCTTAATCCTGAATTCTCCACCGCGTGATAGGTAATGTAAACGTATCCCTACTGCATCCTGGTCCAAAGTCAAATTGTTGATAAAGTCTATGCTGGCTATTCTCCCAGTTTTATTTTCCCTTGCCTTTTTCCTTGTTCAGCTCCTGCCTAAGATCTCTGCGGACAAAGTTTGTCATCATGATCTATCTCTAATCTTAACCACTAACATTAACAGGATAAAGTTGCACCCTATGAACTCAAGATTGTTAGACTTGAAGAAGCATGCACACGATCATTTGTTAGCCAAGAAAGCAAAAGCGCTCTTCCATTAGCACAGTTCTCACTACAGACTCTTTTGATGGCAGACCATTACTATTCCGGTAGAAAAAATTGCAGAAAATTGAAAAATCCCCCCTCTATTCGCACCCGTAGAAATCAAACTCCTGTTCTCATGACGATAAAGGATGAATGACGTAAAGATTCCTTCTTTTCCTTTTTTGCTCTTTTCTAGACTTGAAGGTTCAACCCTTCAAGGGATGCGCCACGCACTCTACTTCCATTCAGAATCGTAGTGGCTTACTGAATGCGATGTGGCCTATACAATGACTTGCGGGGGCCAGCCGATGTACAAGTCAGTGTTCTTATCCTCCCGACTTTGGTACCAATTTACCGTCCCCGGTAAAGGGCTTGGTTAGCCTGAAGGAGAGTTGACCGGAATTTGAACCCAGGGACCGCGCGGGGGGGGAGTGAGCGAGCCACTTGTCACTACATCACCTCCGCCTCAGACGATATATGTATAGGGAGAAATTGCAAAACTCCGACCAGCAAACATAGAGACTATAGCTCCTGGAAGATTCGTAAGCCTGTGCGTCAAGAAAAGTACGGAGGAGAAAGTCACTGTACCGAGAAGGGCTTGGAACAGACAGTCTACCATTCTCTTCATCAGAGTTTCTCCAAGTCTTCCACGAAAAATAACCAAACGTTCTTCTCTGGAAACCGACCTTCACTCCGCAGGCTCTCGAGACGCTGTGAACGCTGGTGAACAAGAAAATTTTTACAAAAAAATATGCTAAGGGAATCTTTTTGCCATAGCACTGCTATCATAACCTCGAGCGCATATCGGTATACAGTTGACAACGTCGCAATCAGTTGAGGGCGGTTTCGAGAGGGAGGGACTGAGCCCACCCGCGGCGTTTGCACCACTGTTCGCTTACTTCCTAAATCGAGCACTGACCCATCACCATTGGAAGAGCTAGGCAGGCGGAGGCGGGCTCACTCCACCCCTTCCTGACACCGCCCCGTCTGATTGCGCCGTTATCAACTATATGTACAAGGCGGCCACAAATACGGTTACAAAAGTTTGAAAACGCGTATGTACCTAAAACATATTTAGCTTGGATTAGCTCAGGGCGACGACTAAAAAGGATACTTACCTGAGCATCTACTTCGAACTTTGATATTCCTGTTGAGCGTTTCCAGAAGCAAGAAGGAAGAGCTCCACTCTACAAAATGCAAGAGAACTATTTTGAAAAGGCCTCAATGGTCTGAAGACTACTCATGCTACTTCAGAATATTGTCGCTGAAAGCGTACTCGATTGCCTCTGAACTAATTTTCGTGTTCTACTTCATTTACATGCTAAAGAAATGGTCGGAAACGGACAGTCGGGCGCTATTCGGTTTGAGCAGCGTTCATACTTCGCACTGACGCGCCTTTTCTGCAAGGGAACTCCAATGCTAGAGACACGAGGGCGCAGACGAGAACCGATTGGTGCTGGCCATTTGCGTTTTGAGCAGAGTAATAGGAGGGTAGGCGCTTCCTTAGGATCACCTACTAGTACCCTCCTATCCCTCTGTCCCTTCCCAAACACTAGCCAGTGCCAATCGACACCAGTCTGCTCGACAGGCAACACTTATCCTCCTATTGCCCATAATCTCTCAAAACAGCGGCTGGCGCCGATCCCGTCCGCGGCTGAGTTCGCGTCTATAGCCTTGGAGCGCTCTTGTAGCGGAGACGCGGCAATGCGTTAGGTACAGTCGTCGTCGTCGCGCATCATCGCAAGCCTGAACGCTGTCTTAGGGCACGTCTTATCTCGATAAGGCCTGTAGATCACTTTCAACTGTAAACA